AGCACTAGGCCTATATTCCACTGCTTCCATAATCCCAGACCTGTAGCAGGGAGCTGGACTGGAAGTGGAGTAGCCAGGTCTTGAACCAGTACCCAAATGGGATGCTGGTGTCACAGGCAGAGGCTTAAACTACTATGCCACAGTGCTAGACCCAAAACAGATTTCTGTTACTTAAGGACCCAATCTATGATATATTTTTTATCTTCTTTTTTTCACTTTTAAATTTTTTTAATTTTAATTTTTAGTTAGCTTTTAACAGATTCTACATGATTTGTAGACACCATTCTAAGAACACAATGATACTCCTCTCCACCCTCCTTCCTTCTCCCCTTCTGTCTTTTTTTTAGTGTTTGATATAACATATCTTAAATTTACATTACAGTAAAATACTTAGTACTTCACCGAATAAGTTTAACAAGTAAAAAGCAAAAAGACCCTAGTTTAGGGGCCAGCACTGTAGCTTAAAGGGTAAAGCTGCTGCCTGCAGTGCCAACATCCCATATGAGAGCCGGTTCGAGTCCCAGCTGCTCCACTTCCGTTCCAGCTCTCTGTTATAGCCTAAGAAAGCAGTAGAAGATGGCCCAAGTACTTGGGCCCCTCTACCCACATGGGAGACCAGGAAGAAGCTCCTAGTTCCTGGCTTCAGATCGGTGCAGCTCTGGCAGTTGTGGTTATCTGGGGAGTGAACCATCGAATGGAAGACCTCTCTCTCTCTCTCTTTGCCTCTCCTTCTTTCCCTGTGAACTCTGACTTTCAAGTAAATAAGTAAATCTTAAAAAAAAAAAAAAGACCTTAGTTTAGTGGGAATACAGACAACAGCTATAAACAATAATTGAATGGAAAAATGACCATTTAATCCCATACAATAAATTTTAAAGTAATCACAGATCATTAAAACTACAGTAGTATAGCATTCTTAACAATTGGTTTCACAAATATATAAAACAAAGTTTTACAAAACTATATTTACAGCAGTACTGGTACCCAGACATTTCTTTTTTTTTTTTCTCTTTATGTTTTTTATATTTTAGTTCCCACATATAAGGGAGAATATGTGGTATTTGTCTTTCTATATTCACCCTATTTCATTAAACACAATGTCTTCCAGTTGCATCCATTTTGCTGTACATGATAGAATTTCATTGTTTTTTATAGCTGAATAATACTCCATTGTGTTTATATATATCACATTTTATTTATCCATTCATCTGATGATAGACACTTTTGTTGATTCAAAATTTTGGATATTGTTAACAGTGCTGCTATAACATGGTGGTGCAGGTATCTCTTTGATACATCGTGCTGAAGTCTTTTGGGATATACCCAGTATTGAGATTGCTGGATCACATGGCAAGCCTATTTCTAGTTTTTTAGGAAATCTCCACACTGTTTTATAGTAGCTGCAATAATTTACATTCCAACCAACAGTGTATAAGTGTTCCATTTGTCCACACCCTCATCAGCATTTATTACTCTCTGTGTTTGGATGTTAGCCATTCCGACAGGGGTGATGTAATAACTCATTTTGGTTATGAGTTACATTTCCCTGATGGATAGTGATGTTGAGTATTTTTTCATATATTTGTTAGCCATTTGTATTATTTCTTTTGAGAACTGTCTATTGAAGTCCTTTATGCATTCCTCAACTGAATTGGTTGTTTTTCTGTTGTTGAGTTTTTTAAGTTGCTGATATATTCAGATTATTAATATTTTGTCATTTATGTGGTTTGCAAATATTTTTTCCCATTCTGTTGCATGTCTCTTCATTCTATTGATTGTTTCATTTGCTATAAGTCTTTATAAGCCTTGACTTGAGTTGATGAAACAGTTTCCTGAAGATGGAAGACAGCCAGAGAGGTGACTGGGCACACGCATTCACTGTGGTGTGAACACACACCTCCTCTGCAAGTCCTCTGCTCACTGAAGAGGAAACAGTACTGATTCTGTCCCACTACAGTGCAAATCTTCTGAGTTTGCTGTAGTTCCATTTGTTTAGTTTTGTTTTTGTTTGGGGTCTTATCCAAGAAATCATCCTCTACACCAATGTCTGGAGTGTTTCCCCTACGTTTTCTTCCAACAACTTCACAGTCTCAGGTCATAAATTCAAATCTTTGATTCATCTTGAGTTAATTTTTGTATATGGTGAGAAGTATGGATCTAATTTCATTCTTCTACAAAGATACTGTCAGCTTTGCCAGTACCATTTGTTAAAGAGATTATCCTAACTCCACTGTATGGTCTGAGCACTTCTGTCAAAAATCAGTTGGCTGTATGTATGCGCATTAATTTCTGGGCTCTCTGTTCCATTGATCTATGTATCAGGTTTTAGTGCCAGTACCATGCTGCTTTAATTACTATAGCTTTGTAGTATGCTTTGAAGTCAAGTATTGTGATGCCTCCAGCTTTATTTTTCTTGACCAGGATTGTTTTTTTTTTTCTCTCTCTCTCTTTTTCTTTTTCTTTTTCTTTTTTTTTTTTTTTTTAGGCATAGTGGACAGTGAGAGAGAGAGACAGAGAGAAAGGTCTTCCTTTTGCTGTTGGTTCACCCTCCAATGGCCGCCGTGGCCGGCGCGCTGCGGCCGGTGCACCGCGCTGATCCGATGGCAGGAGCCAGGAGCCAGGTGCTTTTCCTGGTCTCCCATGGGGTGCAGGGCCCAAGCACCTGGGCCATCCTCCACTGCACTCCCTGGCCACAGCAGAGAGCTGGCCTGGAAGAGGGGCAACCGGGACAGAATCCGGCGCCCTGACCAGGACTAGAACCCAGTGTGCCGGCGCCGCTAGGCGGAGGATTAGCCTAGTGAGCCGCGGCGCCGGCCCTGTATAGACATTTTAATGTTATTGATTCTTCCAACTATGAGCAAGGAATATCCATTTTTTGTGTCCTTGATGATTTCTTTCATCAATATTTGATAATTTTCATTGTAAAGAACTTACACTTCTTTGGTTAAATTTATTCCTAAATATTTTATTTTTTGTGGCTGTTGTGAATGGGCTTTCTTTCTTGATTTCTCTGAGTTCATTAGCATACAAAAAAGCTATTGTTTTTTGTATGTCTATTTTGTGACCTGCAACTTTACGGAATTGGTTTATCAATTCTAATAGCATTTTGGTGCAGTGTTTAGTTTTTTTCCATGCGCAACATCGAGCCATCTACAAACAGGGATAATTTGATTTCCTTTTTTCTGAATCTGATGCCCTTCATTTCTTTCTCCTCTCTAACTGCTCTTGCTAAAACTTCCAGTACTATATTGATAAGACTGGTGAAAAGTGGACATCCTTGCCTTGTTCCAGATCTGAGGGGAAATGGTTTGAGTATGATTACTGCCTATTGGTCTGTCATATATAGCCTTTATAAATTTGAGGGATGTTCCTTCTACACCTAATTTGTGGAGGGCTTTTGTCATGAATGGTGTTGAATCTTATCAAATGTCTTATCTGTGTCTATTGAGATGACCATATGATTTTCATTCATTCTATTGATCTGACTTATGACGTTTATTGATTTGTGAATGTTGAATCACCCTTGCATTTCTGGAATAAATCCCACTTGATATGATGTATGATCTTGCTGATCTGGTTTTGGATTCAATTTGCTAGTATCTTATTAAGAATCTTTCCACCTATGTTCATTATGTGTCATGTCTCTGGTTTTGGTATCAAAGCAATGCTGATCTCTTAAAAACAGTTTGGCAGAGTTTCATCCTGTTCATATTTTGGAATAGACTGCAAAGTATTGGAGTTACTTCCTCTTTGAATGCTTTATACAATTCAGTAGTAAAGCCATCAGGTCCTGGATTTTTCCTTCATGGAAAACTTTTGATTACTGTTTCAGACTCATTGCTTGTAATGGGTCTGTTTAGGTTGTCTATATTTTCTTGGTTTAATCTCGGTAGTTTATATGAATCCAGGAATTTACCCATTTCTTTGAGGTTTTCCAGTTTATTAGCATATGGTTATTTAGTTTTTTAGAATCATTTGTAGTTCAGTGGAGCTGGTTGTAATGTCTCCTTTCACATCTCTAATTTTATATATTTATTTTCTTTTTTGTTAGTTTGGCTAGAGGTTTATCTATTTTGTTTATCTTCTTATAAACAACTTTTTGTTTTGTTGATCTTTATATTTTTAGTTTCAATTTCATTTATTTCTTCTCTTATTCTTATTGTTTCTCATCATCTCCTTTTGGTTTTGGGTTTGGTTTGTTCTTGTTTTCCTAAGTCTTCAAGATGCATCATCAGATCGTTAATTTGAGACATTTCTCTTTTTGAATGTAAGCACTTAGTGCTATAAACTTCCCTCTTAATACTGCTTTTGCTGTATCCCACAGGTTTTAATATATTGTGTTTTTATTTTCATTTATTTTAGGAAAGTTTTTTATTTACTTTTAATTTCTTCAATAATCCATGAATCGTTCAGTAACATACTGTTTAATTTCCAAGTATTTATGAGTGTTATATTGTTCTTGTGGTTGATTTCTAGTTTTATTCCCTTATGGTCTGAGAAAATAACTAGCATGTTTCAATCTTTTAAAATTTGATGAGACTTGATTTGTGGCCTAATATGTGGTCTACCAAACTATGATATATATTTATGACAGCCTAATGACTACTGTAAGTAGTTCCTCACAGGCCTCAGCTGAGAATTTATTGCTAAATGCAATCATAGAAAACCATGTATCGTGGAAAACAGAATTACAATATTCTCTTACAGTCCGGTGGTTCTCACCTATGGTGAATTTGTCCCCAGAAAACACTAAAAAATATCTAGAGATATTTTTTGGTTGTCAAATTGGGTGGTGAGAGGGTGGAAGTGTATATTGATGGCATCTAGTGGATCAAGGCCAAGGATACTGCTAAATATCCCACAATGGATGGATAACTCCTCACAACAAATTAGCCAAAAATGTCAAGGCTGAGAAGCTGTCCAGGTAAGATCCTGACAAACCCTTCTAGAGAGAGGAAAAAGGAAGAGGGTGCTCCAAAACTATCTGCATATTTCCCTAGACTCTGGGTCGACGTGTGTCTGGATGAGTGAAGAAGAGTGAAACCGTGAACTTCAGAGCATGAGAAGTTGGTGAGTGGAACTGCCAGCTCGGCTGGCTCTTGAGGTAGAGGTAAATAGTAGGCCCTAGTCTGGGCCACCCTGCAGTGGTGACAAAGGTCTCCATCACCGGGAGGAGTAACCTCAGGTAGAGCACCGTCTGAGCAGATGAAGAAACCAGTCCTTTCATAACAGCAAGTGAAATCACCTGCATCACAATTTCCTTGGCTCCTGAGACTAATGGGAGATTTCTTTTTATTATTATTAAAGATTTATTTATTTGAAAATGAGAGTTACAGACAGGGAGAGACAGAGATCTTCCACCTGCTGGTTCACTCCCCAGTTAACTGCATTGGCCAAAGCTAAAGCTGGGATCTAGAAGCTTCTTCCAGGTTTCCCATGTGTGTGCAGGGTCCCAAGAACTTGGCCATCTTCTGCTTTTCTAAAACTGTGAGCAGGGAGCTGGACTGGAAGTGGAACAGCTGGGACATGAATGGCTGCCCATATGGGATGCCAGCATTGCAAACATCAGCTTTACTCGCTACACCATAATGGTGGCCTGGAGAGATTTCTTTCATTCCTGTTTTATTTTGACTTTTTGTTTTCTTTCTTTTCAGTTTTTTTCTGGGACAGGTAATGAATTTTGTCAAATGCCTCTATGGTAATCATCAACATACACATGGTTTTTCTCCTATAGTGTTTGATAGTATCCTTTCAAAACATACAAAATTTTTTGTTGGGTTTTATATTAAGGATATTCTAACTTTATCAAGAAGACTTTCATGTTTTTCTACGGACTAGAATTGGTGGGCTTCAAATAACCTTATGTTATTTAATGGTTAGAAAAAATAATCTCTAATACTATCTGCCTGGTGCATCTTTACCATGACCATTCTTTGGCTTTTGTGATTTGTTGTTCCATAATTATCTCTTGAGCTAGTTTTGGTCACTTGTGGTTTTTAATAGCTTTTTTTTTTAATTGATCTTGAGACTGGCACTGTGTTTTAGTGGGTTAAGTTGCCGCCTGCAGTGCTAGAATGCCATATGGGTGACAGTTTGAGTCCCAGCTGCTCCACTTCCAATACAGCTCTCTGCTGTGGCCTGGGAAAGCAGTAGAGGATGGCCCAAGTGCTTGGGCCCCTGCACCCACATGGGAGACCCAGAAGAAGCTCCTGGCTCCTGGTTTAGTATAGACTCAGTTCCAGCCATTGAGGCCATTTGGGGAGTGAACCAGCAGATGGAAGACCTCTCTCTCTCTCACACACACACTCTCTCTCTCTCTCTCTCTTTCTGCCTCTCTGTAACTCTGCCTTTCAAATAAATAAATCTTTAAAAAAAATTTTGATCTTTCATCTGCCAGCATATAATCCAGTGGTCAGAGTAATTTTTTTTATTTATTTGAAAGGCAGATTTACAGGGGGAGGGGGTAGGGAAGGAGTCAGGGAGGAAGGGAGGGAAAGAGAGAGAATCTTCCATCCATTGATTCACTCCTTAATGGCTGCAATGGCTAGGGCTGAGCCAGATACAAGACAGGAGTCTCCTACATGGGTGGCAGGGGACCATACACTTGGACCATCTTCATTTGCTTTCCCAGGTGCATTTGCAGGGAGCTGGATCAGAAGTGGAGCAGCTGGGAATCAAACTGACACCCAGATAGGATGCTGATATCACAGGCAGCACTTTAATCTTTCATGCCACAATGCCAGCCCCCGAATCAATCTTTTTAAAACTGAAGTCTATTCCTCTTAAAACTCAAGGAACAATTCTTTAAAAAAAAAAAAAAAAAGATTGGTCTTCGAAGTCGGCGAGCTCAAAAGGCTTCCATAGCCTTGGCAACTCATGACCAGAGCCTAGGGAGATTACTGACGCCATAAACAAGAGTGTCAAATTGTTAAGTGAACAACAGGAGTCACTGTGTACTTACTCCTCATGTGGGATCTCTGTCAATGTGTTGTCCAACGTGAATTAATGCTATAACTAGTACTGAAACAGTATTTTATACTTTATGTTCTGTGTGGGTGCAAACTGATGAAATCTTTACTTAGTATATACTAAATCGATCTTCTGTATATGAAGATAATTGAAAATGAATCTTGATGTGAATGGAATTGGGAGAGGGAGCGGGAGATGGGAGGGGTGCGAGTGGGAGGGAAGTTATGGGGGGGGAGCCATTGTAATCTATAAACTGTACTTTGGAAATTTATATTTACTAAATAAAAGTTTAAAAAATTGATTTTATTTATTTGAAAGGTAAAGAGACACACACAGTGAGAGAGAGAGAGAGAGAGCAAGTGAGCAGGAGCCAGGAACTCCGTTCTAGTCTCCCATGTGGGTGACAAGGGCCCATGTACTTGAGCCATCTTCTGCTGCTTTTCCAGGCACATTAGCAGTGAACTGAATGGAAAATGGTGCATCTGGGACTGGAACTGGTGCTCACACATGGGGTGCAAGTGTCACATACAGTAGCTTAACCCACTGTGCCACAAGGCTGGCCCCAAGATATCAAATGTTACCTCTTTAGTACGCGTATAAGGGCCCAATGATCTGTTTGCCCATTGTAATCATTATATAACTCTTGCTTGTACCACTCTTTCTTTACCATTTTGTGGCAGACACACAGATATCATACTAATTCCTTAAATACAGGACTCTCTTTCTTTAAGCTTTCCCTTTCATCTTTTCTTGCTTCAGAATTCAATTTTAGGGTCTGGCGCTGTGGCATAGTGGGTAATGCTGCCATCTGCAGTGCCAGCATCCCATGTGGGCACTGGTTCGAGCCCTGGCTGCTTTACTTCCAATTCAGCTCTCTGCTATGGCCTGGGAAAGCAGTAGCAGATGGTCCAAGTCCTTGGGCCCCTGCACCCACGTGGGAGACCCAGAAGACATTGTTGGCTACTGGCTTCAGATCAGCTCAGCTCCAGTCGTTGCAGCTACTTGAAGAGTGAACCAGCGGATGGAAGACCTCTCTCTCTCTCTCTCTCTCTCTGCCTCTGCTTCTCTGTAACTCTGCCTTTCAATTAAATAGATAAATCTTTAAAAAAATAAAAACTCAGTTTTAAAGTTTGTCACCTTGTAAGCATTCCCTAACTACCTATCTAAATAGATCCCCTCCCTGGTCCCCAAAACCTCTGTTGCCCAGAGCAGGCTGAGATGTTCTGTGTCCTGGAAGTCGTGAAGTCCAAGTGTACTCATCAACAACCACTCATGTTGCCTTCTCAAGAGAAAACACAGCGATACTGGGTCAGTCACTGAAAAGATTTTCCCACATCCTCCCCCTTGCTTTGGTAAAAGTTCCTGGTTTCAGAGCCCAGAGGTATAACAGAACCTAAATTAATTTCTTGAAGATAATTTATGCAACTGAAAACTTCTCAATTGCATTTGATTCTCTGAAGACAAACATTTATATGCAATTGCATACAAATGCCAGGAATATTTTGGAATTGCAGCCATGTAGAAATTAATATGTATAGAAGAACACTAATGTTAAGAAGAGGAATAAGGGAAAAGTTATATATTTTTTTATCAAGGTATTAACTACTTCGAAAAAATGTAGTCTCTCCAAACGGCTTGCTGAGAAATACTATTTGGCAAGATGTTTCTCAATCTGGCTTATGTTGCCTGTTGTAATTTTACCAAGCCCAGCATTTTAACACTTTTTGAACACATTCCCAAGGATCTTTAATGATAGATGCATCTTTTAAAAAAAATCAGTCAATAAAGTGCACATGTAACAAAAAATGGACCACTAAAAGAATGTTACAAATTTGATGAAGGTGATTCACCTAATGAACAATGGAGAAATAAATTCATGTGTCATTACCAAGAAATGGCAATTCCTTTGAAGAATATTTCACTTACCAATTTTAACATGAAAGTATTATCAAATGCAGTGAATGTATGACTCTCTCTCCCCACTGTTTCGAACTTTGGAAAATAGAACTTAAATCCTAGATGTCAAACTGTCAAAAGCAAATGTCAAACTGAGTAAGTAAGTACACACAAGGTAGGCCATTTCAGGAGGTATGATTACGGATATGCGTTAGTGCAGATAGCACTTGTTAGTATTTAAAAAAACACTAATGATTTCAGCTTTTCTAAGTGTCAGTGGTCAAAACTTTGACTCTCAATTCCTTTTTGCATTCTCTCATGTCAGGCAATAGTTTGCTTTTAAAGTGATAAAATTTGCTTCTCCATGAACTTCAAAAGAAAAAGAGCTCTTCTGTGGCAGATGCTCTCCTGCTAACTAGAGTCATTCATGGGAGTTGTCAATTTGTTCTTCCAAAAATATCAAGTAAGATGAGAAGAAAGCAAATGTTTTTGCTATCAAGGCATAGACATTTGGTCAGAGCAATAAAATAGCCTCAAATGCCAAAAAATAATAAAGAAAATGTGGAATGAGTAACTTCCAAAGTTATGGAAATAATTTGACTATGTCTCACTACATGATAAAAATTGACAGGATTCCTAAGTACCCACAGATGGAAGAACTACACTAACAACTGGTTACAGCACAGACATGATTAGAGGCCTTATTGTAATCATGGTGTAGCCAGGAATTTTGTCTGTTTCAAAACAATTATGTATGTATATAGAATGTGTATACATGTGTGGTTAATTTTCTGATGGTGGTGATTAGTTTGCTTTAGGCCAATGCAGATTTTCTTATACTAAATGTTATACATGCACTTAAACAACGGCTGAATTGGGCTCCAGGTGTAATCCATGAATATAACTGCTTCTAATTTACTTATCATTAACTGGCTTTTAGGTAAAGGAGTAAGTTAACACAATCTATCAAATGGGCACAATTTTCTGCTGCCACATGAATTAACTCTTTCCTTTGGCTTAAAATGAGAATTAATAAAATTACAGAAGATAGAAACCCAAGTAAACCAACTGTAATTTTTCCTCTATGTGCAAGTTAATCAGTTAGAAAAGTATTATGACAAAATGGTTCACAGAGGATTGGACAAGCTAGGAAGGAAAAAGGAATAGTTCTGCAGCCTAACACACTGTGAGGTCTAGCAGACCTGGGTTTGAATCATGATTACTTAATTATGAGCTGTGTGACATTGACAGGCTTCTTAATCTAAGCTTGAGTTTCCTACCTTGTAAAACAAGGATAATGAAAGCTCACATGGACATGATTAGAGCTAAATGCAATGGTGAATACAGAATACTAGCTCAATGTGGGATACAAAGTGGCCATTCAGTAATTGAGAGATTTGAGTTATTTGAGCGTCTTCTGCTTCCCAGGTGGTTTGTTATGTTATCTCACAAATTTGTTTCCGTGACTTTGCAGTGAATTGAATCACCTAAAGAGACTTGAAAATTACTGACGAATAGCTTCCATTCCCAGATTCCGAGGTGTGACCTGCACTTGGGAAGTTTTAAAAACTTTCCAGGTGATTGTAACATGCAGCAAAGTTTAGGAAACATTGTTTCCACAATCTAGTGAGATAAATATTAGTATACCCACTTTAGGGTTTAAAAAAATAAAATCACGGGATTGATTTACTCAAGATAACATGGTTTATGACTGATATGGTGAAAATGCTTGCTTTTTTTTTTTTTTTTTTTTGACAGGCAGAATGGACAGTGAGAGAGAGAGACAGAGAGAAAGGTCTTCCTTCCGTTGGTTGACCCTCCAATGGCCGCTGCGGCTGGCACACCGCGCTGATCCGAAGCCAGGAGCCAGGTACTTCTCCTGGTCTCCCATGGGGTGCAGGGCCCAAGCACTTGGGCCATCCTCCACTGCACTCCTGGGCCACAGCAGAGAGCTGGCCTGGAAGAGGGGCAACTGGGACAGAATCCGTCACCCCGACTGGGACTAGAACCCGGTGTGCCGGCACCGCAGGTGGAGGATTAGCCTAGTGAGCCGCAGCGCCGGCCCGAAAATGGTCTTAATGTATTATTTTATAATACTTGCTCACCAAAAATAGTTATAAAACAGCATGTAAAGCTAATGCTAATCTTTTTAAAAAGTTAATTAAGTGTATAAAAAGGCTCTAAATGTGTTTAACAAATAAATTTTCAAAAATCATTTGCGAAAAGGATTAAGAGTAAATTTTGCCTGTTGCCCCTCTTCCAGGCCAGCTCTCTGCTGTGGCCAGGGAGTGCAGTGGAGGATGGCCCAAGTGCTTGGGCCCTGCACCCCATGGGAGACCAGGAAAAGCACCTGGCTCCTGCCTTGGGATCAGTGTGGTGCGCCAGCCGCAGCGCACCGGCCGCGGCAGCCATTGGAGGGTGAACCAACGTCAAAGGAAGACCTTTCTCTCTGTCTCTCTCTCTCACTGTCCACTC